TGCTCATCTGACCTGGATTCGGTTCCGGTTCGGTAAATCGCTGGGAGAACCGCTTGCGTGGCAGGAATTGTCGACCGATCGTCGCCGCTTTACTTCGACAATTCGCCTAAGCAAATGAGGTTTAGACTACGAGGAAGTATGCAAATTCAAAGCGATCATGTATCCAGTTTCCTCCCGTCGCGCCAATGGCGAAACTTCTTAACGAGCTCGCAAGGGATTATCTAACCCGAAAATTAGGCGATCCGATTTCCCATTCATGTCTTCATATCGTTTCACAAATCAATTAGATATGACAGTGGCTCGAGGAGAGACATAACCGAAATATCAGAGACAAATGTTAAATTCAAAGACAAAAAAAATTAACTTATAATAAAACGAGCTTTTGTAAACACCCTTTAAAATCATACAATGACATTATACTGCAAAAAATTATTTGAAGTTATAACGATATTATATTTTATAATTTTCATTTCTAGTAAAAATTAAAAAAGTTATATAATCGTAAAAGAGCACAAACAAAAACGGTGTACTAATGTTACAGAGTATTAAAAATATTAAAATCAGAATAGAGATAATGTACTGTTTCGTTCTCTTATATCACTTTCAGGTATTGTGTGTCTCTCCTCTTCGATTCCAAGTTTCGAAATATTCCGTTAAAAAAGTTAAAAAGTTATGCAATTATAATGCTCCACCGCCGTGTTATTCCGATGAAATGGGATCTGCCTTCAGCGGCAATTTTGAACTCGCGTTACAATACATTTGTCGAAATTTCGCATTAATATCAGAATAGTCTTCGATTCCATTTCAACTATTCGCGTCGGATAATCCGATTCGATCTCATTCTCGAATTCGAGTGTGCGAGAATAAAATACCAGGCGATAATGGTGTTCCCCTTTTTACACATTGCCCCGCGGTTTTTCGTGCTCGTTTCACGTGCGTTTTCTTGGACGCATTATATACGCTCATCAGTAACCTGTTCTAATTGCACCACCCTGTGCCCCACAATATTTAAAAATTAGCGATTGCTTCTTGGGTGCTGATCTCGTAACGTGAGCATTCCACTATCGCTCAGCAGCCTCAAATAAAATCATTATTGCTTTATTTCCATAAATTATGAACTAAATCTTGATTATCCGCAAGAACGTTTATATTAAATTTATTGTGCTGATATTGCTTAACGTACGTATATATATATATGAGAAAAACTTATACAAAAAGGAAAAAAGCATCATCTGTTTTGTGTAAGTCTTTTTGCTCGTATCGTTTAAATATAAATAAATATAGTTTCGAATCAAATACCTAATAATATGAGAAAATGATTTTATCCCTTATCGACGAAAAGCTCGAACAAAAGTCATTTTTGAGATCAGTACGGGGAAACCAATCGGGAATCAATTCGATGCGAGAACATTCAATATTATTCGAAAGAGCGTAATTGCATCTCGCGCACGCATCCGCAGCGTGTTGTACATTCGGGGTGAGCCGTTGCTGAGGGTGTAGCGGAAGTTATTCCTGTCGTTGTTCGGATAAGAACGAGGGAGGGTAGGATAGAGGGGAGGGCAGGGGACGAATCTAACCGCGTGTCTCGTCGGGGGACGGAGCGGCGGATTGATCCGATAGAACTTGCTCGTCGAGGGATGATTGTCCCTTGATTGAAAACGTCCTCGAATCGACGGAGGGTGCGACTGTGCTGTACTCGAGGAAGGAAGGTGCGGCGCGGCGTGTCCCGGGTTTTGCGAAAGCCTCGGCGGCGGCGCGCAGCTATTCCGCATGTTCCGAGAACGCATTTTTTATATTGACCTCCGTAGGGCAAAGTTGCGCTCTATATATGGTAGGGTCCACATTTGGTAAGTGGAGCCGTAATGGCAACTAATCCATTTCTGTCTTATCTTCCTGACTTTCGCGTTTATAAAGAAAGATCACGATCGTCCGTCGGGAATACATTTCTCTTAGGTAGAGATAACGTAAAACGGTAAGAATCACTTTGGGGGGATCGTTATTTTTAATAACATTGGGACAAGCAGAGATGGATTTCATCGATATATGAATATCTTTCTAGTAGCAATTTTTTGTCGTTACGTCACTGTATACGTAATAAATGAAATTGAATGGAACATTAAGAATATTCCTTCCACTCTGCGGTGTATGCCAAGAGTTCATCGGCTAACTCTGGTATGATCGGGCAAGTTGGGAGAACTATTTTAGGTGGCATGCGGCGAATGCGAAGATCAGAATTTAGCGCGAAATTAGAAAAAGCTCGCCCGCTTTCGTCTCTCTCTCTCTCTCTCTCTCTCTCTCTCTCGCTCGCTCGCTCTCGCTCTACGGAGAGTTAAATCCACAGCACAATAACGCTCAAGAACTTTCCGGCATTCGGGGCCGTGAAAAACGCGAGCTATCAGTGAGCCGCATTTTTCTTCCCCTCCCCTTCCCCCCGCTTGTACTCCCGTAATCGAGACGCATCGCGGCTCTCATCCCCGCACACGCGGGAGTCGTTACCTCCTACAGATTGGGGGAAGTTTCGCTGTTTTTCCCATATGGCACTGGAAGCACTCTAATCTCCGGACGACGACGATTTTCCAGTCGTGGACGTCGCTCGCGCGCGTGCGTCTCCCATCGCAGACAGGACCGACACAAAGTGATGACTTTTTAAAATCTAAAACTAATTCTTTTTTTTTTTAACGAGGACGCACTAAAGCACAAATTTTGAAGAAAATATATATTCTTATACTTTATATTTTTTCTACAATAAATAACTACGTTATGATACGACAGTTAATATTAATGTAATTGTTAATGTCTATAGTTATAATATTATTAATATTGTGCGTTTTGTAAGTTAAAATTTTCTATTTAAAATAAAAGGGTATGTAAGAATTTCTTCAAATTCTTAAAAAAAATTTAGATCTGCCACACAATGGCTGAGGCTGTTAATGCAACATATGCAACATAGATTCACCGTTGCGGCGGTCCTGACGGACGGATCGTTTCTGATAACGAAGGACGCTGATACGCGATGCGGAGCCGTCGCCGCGGACCGGATATCTCGATACATCCCCCGGTTTTTCGTAGGCCGGATATGCGTATGATTCGCGAAGGGAAATAAGCACGGAATTGTTTTCGAACGACCGTGTACGGGCGGGATTTTATCGGAGTATCGATCCTGGAGGGGCGCGGGAAGTCGACGAATCTACAATATTTCCGGAAGCTATGAAATAAAGCGTCGTGCGTTTAGCGATATCGGAGTCATAACCGTAAATATATTTATGGCGATATAAATTGTAAGCTCGCGAGCATGCTCGTTGCTTTTTTCACTTCTTTTTTTTTAAGGGGGAAAACCGGAAATCGTTTTTCGTATTTCGCTGCGCCGTCTTTCAATCGAGAAATGATAACTAGTGATAATAATAGCAACAATGAGATCATTATTTAATAGGAAATCAGATTTAAGAACGTTGAAAACGATATATATGTCTCTTAAGCATCTATTCTTGATATGTTCTATGATGGAAACAAAAATAGAGCGATATAAATATCACATAACGTAAAAATATCCTAATATCAGTAAAGACAAAAAATTAACAGAATAGCGAAGCGACATTTCACACAATTATTTCTATCCAATGTTTTAATATGTATTCAAATCTTGTTCATAAATAAATTAGATCGGTTATTTTGGAAATATATCTAAAATTCTTAGTCCAGAAAGATACAAATAGTTCACAGAAAATTGATTTATTTTCGAATGTATGATCATCTAATAAAAACAGAATGCAATAGCTAAAAATAAGAAAAATAATTCTGAGAAATGGGATTCAAATAACGCAGAAAAATAGCTACACACAGAAAAATATAAACTACCTGCAAGTTAATATTACTTGATTCAAGTATTTGATAAGTTCATATATGAGCAAATCTACCATAAAGTCGTCATAAGTATCACATTTACTCAAAACATATTCTAGATCTTAGCAAGTTTAGTACTTGAAACAAGAATATTAAATTAATACGAACATTTTGTTTACTTACAATATAGAGTCCACGGAAGAGAAGCATATACTTCAATAAAGATATTACATTTTCTTGAGAGAAGTTTATCCGTTATTTGAATCAAGTAAAAATTTTATTCATCTAGAATAATCGTTTACTTCAAAAAAGAATTTGTATTCTCGATGATTACAATTAATATTATTTTTATTTTTTTAATTTTCTTTAATTCTTTAGTTCCTAAGTGGAATGTAGGTTAGGAGGTTTTCGTGCGCGGTGCGGAGGGGTAGTACTTACAGTTTAGAATATAAAAATTCCTGTCTTCAGGTGGACTTGAACCCGGTTCCTCGTGGTTATGAGTCTGACACTTTATCACTAGGCCACATCTCTGATTATATTCTTAGTGTTGCAGTATCTAGTTTTCACAGAAGTAATTTATTGATTTCAAGTATTTCATAATCTTACCTAAAGAATCAGTAAATATTCAAATCAAGCTTATGTAGCTTTTCTTAGATAAAGTTTACAGAATATACTTGAAATTAATGAATCACTTTCTGTCAAAACTAGATACTGCAGCACTAAAAATATAATCAGAGATGTGGCCTAGTGATAAAGTATCAGACTCATAACCACGAGGAACCGGGTTTCAAGTCCACCTGATGACAGGAATTTCAATATTCTAAACTGTACCCCTCCGGACCGCGCACGAAAACCTCCTAACCTAGAAGAATGTCGTTCTACAGCCAAGTATTTCATATTCTTACCTAAAAAATCAGTAATATTCAAATCAAGCTTATGTTGCTTTTCTTAGATAAAGTTTCGGAATATACTTGAAAGAAGAATAAATTCTTCTTTTAAGCACATGATGATAAGCTTTTCTAATACTTATGATGAGTATATTAAGAAACTAATATTAAGAAAATATTCTTTGTTAAAGAAAACTGTTACTCAAACCAAATAAAATAAAATGAGTAATTGCTTTTCTTGGCTATAGAACGATATTTTTCTGTGTGTAGAAGTTAATTTGAAGATTAATAACCAATAAGACAGATTTGATCGAAAGGCAGTGATATGAATTAAGGAGAGTCAATAGTTTAATTTAAAGGCTCTGATTATTTGTTCTAAGATTAAAGGAACATGAACTTATTGCGCGTATGAAAACAACGTCATCTGGACAATATAAACGTGATATTTATAAATTTCAGAAATAACACATTTTTCTTCAATTAAATCTTTTCAACTTACGGGTTTATCGGGCCGCTGCCAAAACGGCTGATTTGATTTATTAAAGCGGGGTTGATGATCCCGCGTACTCGAAGCGTCCGTTTGTCACGAGGCCAACTTCGCCGCGAGTTGTTTGCCCGGGACGTATCCCAAATCTCTCGAGTGACACAGTCGGTGGCAGGGGCGATCTTAAGAATGAGAACATAATCCGCGACGCGGAAGAGCAATATACTGCGCGCGGAGTACTCGCGCCGACACGGAAGTAATCCGATAATCCTATCAGACGAGCTTCCATAAAATCGTTAATCGTCGGTACGCCGCCGCCGACTCGGACGGCTGACGCACGCGGCGCTTTGTTGTAATCCCGGTTCGGTATTCACATCGGTTTCGAAGCCACATCCGCACGATGCGGTGAAATCAACCGCGCACAGCGCGTTCGCGAGAAGCGCGTCTTACATCCGGGAGATTGTTGTAACAAACGAGTTTCATCGAGCGGTGTTTCGAACGAAAATATACTGACGTTAGTTGTTACGAATAACTTTCGGGCTTGTTCCGCTGAACGGGGAGCTATATCCGCCAAAAAAGAGGTTTCAACAACTCTCTTCTCCGAGTTACATGAAGTCAATGTTTCCTCAGCGAAAATAAATTGTCGATGCTTCTTTCAAAATTTTGCATATTTAAATTCCGGGATAAAAAACGGACGAAAAAAAAAAAAAAAGAACAATTGTTCTTATAAATCGAAGTTCAACGATTTCTTCGGAAGAAGGAAGGTAGATTTGATCAGATTTGATTTCGACTTATTATGTGAAATTTCCACTTGCATCTCGTCTGTGGCAAATATTTTATACAAACGTAAATCCCACTGTGGTAGGACAAAAATCAAGCGAACAGCGCGCTCAAATGAAGTACGAATTTTCTCCCGGGAGCGGACGGTTCGTTTGCAATTTTCTGCTGGTGGTTGTCTAATCTATCGAAAACAACAACGAGCGAGGAGAATGTTTCTGTTTCTCATTAGCGACTCCATTAGCGGAATGCTCGCGCACGATATTAGGGCGCAATGTAAATTGGTAGGATTAAATGCATCGGACGATTGCATCAATCTCATTAAATGCCGCGCATAATGTTTGGCAAGAGAGGGAGAGGGCGAAAGAGAAAGAGAGAGAGAGAGAGATAGAGAAAGAGCGAATCGAGCGGATCGAGTCGGTCGGGGTTAGTAACGATGTTTGGGGATGCTCCGATAATTATTGAATCCCTCGACGTTGTTTGCGCCAGATAAATCGAAAATAATAGAATATTCGAGCGTTTGCCCAGTTACGTTCTCGCATCTTCCGTTCTCGAAACCCGGTTATTTTTATCGTTGAAAATTCTACGACATTATGTAAAATTCGTAAAGTTTCCCCTTACGAACCAATTTGCGATCGATTCGAATATTTTAGCTTCGTTCATTATTGCATATTATCTTCCTCTCTGCAATAATAATGTCGATATGAGACCGCGAATCCTTGCAGATGATAAGCATAGCTCAAGGACGAGTCGTTCTAAGACGCTCGCTTTCGAAGTGTCAATCGTGAGGGTAAGTTAAAAAGTGAAGAGCGCGCGTAGAAATGTTCGAATAACCATTTTCATTCTTTAATACCGTCCGCGTTCCGCTCTTCTCTTTGCCATCAGCTTTGCTTAATCTGATTATTGCATGCATCCCATAGCTTCGCATATAGCGGGGATCATGAAAGCAAACAAAAATGTATAGGAGCAAAATATATATGATTGAAATATGCGTTTTGTTTGGCAATACAGATGGGATAATTAAAAAAAAATCGCGGAATTTGAATGATTTCATCCGCGTTCTAACAACGCTGTAAAAAAAAATAAACATTTATTCTTACGCTGACCGCGATATAGCGGATAGCAAACAATTGATGCTCCGATTGACAACACAGTTATACATGATATGATCTAATTCAGAGCTATTTGAGCGATTTCATCAAAATTCTAAAAATTTTAATTAATATGGAGAGGCTTCGAGTGATTCTCGGATCATGCTGATCTTATTCCGTACAGAATATTCATCGATTTAACCCTTAAAGTACAATTAAAAACGGTATCTTATTCGGTAAAAAATAAAGTGTATTTGTTCTAGAAACTTGAAAGTATGTTTATGAATTTTTAGAGATTTCTTGAACGACTTTAAATAAGTGAAAAAGTGGTCGGACTCGAAATACTCATGTTTTGTACTTTAAGGGTTGAAGAATCGGGTGTAACTATTTCGTTGTTTAAGCTCGCGAGAATTAACATTAAAAAATTGAGAATTTAATACAGATTAATTTTTTCAAATTTTTAGAAAAAGATAGAGCGTAAATTACTATCGAACTCTTGCTTTTTCACAGTCGCACGCTCCGTCGATGAGACTTTTAGCTATCGCGGAAGTCGCGTCGTCTCGTTAGACGCGAGATTGACGATCGGGCCTCATCAGGATTGTAACGCACGTGATTCGTGACCGCGGGGCACCTGGATCAGACCTGATTGCTGTTCACAATGAGCTTATTATCCCTAAGAAGCTAGAGAAATCTTAACGGCTAGACCCGATATTAACATACTACTTCATATACGCTATATATATGTATACGCTGCGCTCGTAGGTACAGTATGGCTTCTAATGCTGATAACTGCTAAGTGTCCTAAGTAGCCTAAGTCCTACTTGTTGGTGAAAAATGAGAACGCGCGCTGCTCGCCCGCATGGCACGAGCTTCGCGCTACCTCGCAATTGTTGTGCGCACTGACAATAATATCTTCACGGTATACCACTCTCGTCGAGAGAGAGGTAATTGAACGAAAATCGATCGGTCCCTCTCTTCTGAGAACCCTGAAAACGGAGACACTTGCCGCCCGATGAAGTGCGTTGTCCGAGAGGATCCTTGAGTAGGCGTGAAATAACATGCGACGCTTAACGATCCCGACGATCGACTAAGGCAAAGATGGGATAAATAACGCAATTAACGCGATGGATCGATGGAAATCCTCGCGAAACGTCGGTCACCGTTGGTTGGTCAGCGTTGCGAAGCAATTTCGATCGAGATCGACGAGAGAAAGAACAAAAATAATTGGACGCGCGGATGAACGAACGGCGAATGACGGCTCGATGAGATTTTCATCGCATCCGTTGCGAGTTTCTCGCTTCCTTCTCAAGAATCGATCTCGCCGACGTCGTTGATTGATTAAACCAAAATCCGACGGAAAAATCTTAGTGGCGTAGAAATTACGTACGACGCGATTGAAAAAGTGCTAAAATAGCAATTGGCTTTTTCCTATAATTCACTCTTTTTTTCATGACCCTCCCCCCAGCCCCTCCCACTCTTTCATTCCAATTTTCTCTTTCATTTTCGCACGCACACATACACACGCGCTTCAGTTCTCACTCTCACACACTCTTTCTGTTGCTCCTAACTTCCCCTTTGTTTGTCTCTTCCTTCTACTATCTCTCGTCACTCGATTACAGCTTAATTATTACAAAGATGGTTGTACAATAATATATATAATATAGACTCTGTATTAGTTACAATAATATCGTAGCGTCCTACACCGTCGCGTCTGGCCTTCTTCTGTCGTCATTAATCACGAAAATCGAAACCGATTGAGTTCCTTCTTCGAGTTATAACGCCTTCACGCTCGATTCTAAGCGCAACACATCCGCCTCGTTATCACCGTTCTCGAGCGTTTCTGTTGCCACGTAAATGTATGTATCCGCGTGTGTGTGTGTATGTACGTCTTTTGTATACATGTTTCGTGTATCTTTATTGCTTATTGCTTAACATTAACGTTCGCGCCGAGCGGGTCACCACCGAAGAGATATCCGTCCGCGGGCATCCCATCGTTAATTAAGCTAATCGATTGCTCATAGGAGACAAAGACCTCGGCGTCACCACCGCACATTTAACGTTAAAGGCAAGTTCTCCCTCCCCGAGACTTGACGGTGACATCGCACGCGATCTTTATCCTCGACGAATAAAAACTTATAGGATCAGGCGGGGGCTGCATTTGCGCGTCGCGTCTAACGAGATGCTAATGAAGCGAAAATATAGATCAAAGGATCACACCCGTGTCATCTGCCTCGCGCGCGCGCGCGCGGAGGGACGCGTCGCGTCGTGCGATTTCCTCGGCGGATTTCCCCTCTCGACGCATGAATAAAGAAAAATGTAGTGAGCCGTGTGAGCCCCGAGGAAGAGAGAACACCGGTGTACCATGGTGTGACATCCAGAACGGAGCCCCTGTAGTCTCGTTCAATAATCTCTTGACCTTCTTTAATCCTCGACTGGTTCGCGGGGTGAAATAATATTACGCATTTGTTTCTTATCGGCTAGAGGACTCCGCCATGCTAATTAATCAAGAGTCACTGTCCTCATTCTCGTTCGTCGTTCAGATAAAAACCGCTCTCGCTCGGCTAGCTCGTCCCGGGGAGAACGAGCGACTCCATTTCCCTTCATCCTTCGCGGCGTCACTTCACAGAACAAATTCGGGGATCCGCCTCGATCCGTCGAAAAACGACAGCGTGTATTTATTTGTAATTAATCGATATTAATTATTACGCGTATCGTCGATTAACTCGGTACTTATTGAGGGTACATGCCCGAGAATGAGCAAAGAAATGAGCGTACGCGCGCCCGGCGAAGAAAATATTTACCGAGTAAATGCTTCTTCATCCCTTTCTCTCTTTTTTTTTGCACTTATCGAGGATATAGTCTCTCTTTCGTAGTAGTCATCCTTTTCTGTCCGTTCCTAAAAAGTAAACGATCGCCGCGTCTTATCGGCTAGAACGAGAGGACTCCGGGACGATCGATCCCGCGTGGGCGAATCGCGGTCCTTCGTCCTCGACCGAGGTCGACCGCGTCGTTCGTCGCGATACCGATCGTGATATGGCCAAACCATAGAAATCGCCTAAACAACTTCGTCAACTTCCGCCCGACCTCAATCTTAGTGCCTACGCGCTACGTCCGGTAAAAAAATCTACTGGCCAGGGAAAACTCACGCTCAACGAGTCCGCGCTCTCTCTCTTCGCTTCGATCGCGCAATATCGCCGCCGATGTCCCTTCGATGCCTGTCTCTTCCTGCGAGATCGTGCGTGTCGAAGTTGTCGCGAAAATCCAACTTTCTTTTCGGATCTTCCGTCGATTCTTCGTAAGATGATCCTTCGTGCGATCCTGTCGTCCGTCATTCGTTACTCCTTATCCGTTTCATCGACGACGCGGCTGCGCCTCTTCGGCCTCGGAACGACGATCGCGGGAACGCGAGTTTTTCCTGACAGCTCGAAGAAACTAACAGGAGCTACGAGCACGATTGTGCTAAATCGGTCGATAAGCTCCCCTTTTCTCCCCGCATCTTCTCATTCACGGTCTAAGATCGCATTCATCTGCAACTTTACGCGCGCGCTCGGATCGATCGAGCCACGGCCGATCACTTTGTCGCGAATATTCTTTATAACGATCTCACTGAGTGTCCGGCACCGCGTTTGAGTCTGATTTTTTTAAATTGATTTCGAATAATCGCGTTTTCGATTAGAATCACCTGAATATCGCGGCGACTGCTGTCAGCAGAACGATCGTCAGGTACGTCGATCGGCCGATCTGTCCGCCGTTCGCTTCCATGCACTGGCCTGCAACGATAGAAGTGATTTGCAATTTTTACTATCTTTGTGCGTGTACACTTACATGCGAGATAGAAGCGTGTTTAGCTTCTTAGCTAAACGGCATTTATTTAGTTAGAATTAGTCAACCTTAACATCCATCTCTCATACATGTAAACGAAAAATATTTTTACAAGTACGTGCTACATATTTTCCTCGAAAATATACGTACTGAATGTAACATTACACGTAGTTGTACTGTATAAAATCAATCTTGAAACTTTTGACTCTATATATAGGTTTTTTAGCGAAATACAAAATTCTACTCTAGCATTATACATGATATCGAAATTAATTATCTCAATGTCTTTTTATAAATTAATGTTTTTTTTTCTAATTATGATCAGTGTAAATGTTACAATATTGTGTGGTTTAAAATCCACGATAATAAAGGTAATATCTTCCATATAACATAATAACATTCGATTGGACCAAAATTAAGGCCGCTAATGAAACACGCGAATGGTATAATTAATGTTGGGATAATATATGTTTAACGCAATATATTTAACGGTTATTTCGCGCCCACGAGATAGCCTTAGGTCCAGTGACACATAACTCAGCGTTTATCAACGCGCTGTCGCAGTCTATTTGTCACAGAGAGCTACGCGAATGTCGCGCTAGATTATGCGTGGCTGTCACGCGCCCTCCGCGACGAGATTTCGAGCGGCGCGGCGCAATGGATGACAATCGCTGACTCTGCGATTTCGATTGGATGGCACAGCGTTCACGTCACGGAGAAGTTATTGGAGTATACTGAACGTTTTGCGAAAAGACGGAGAATCTCGTCGCGTTTTCCTGGTCGGGCATAGCTACGAGTTTGCCAAGTCTCCGTGATATCAAGAATTTGCCCATATTGATATGAAATTTACATTTATCATTTATTTAATAGACATCAAGAAACTTGTCTTAACTTATATATAATTTCTCTTTCTTTGACAATCCGAATGTTGAAATAAATTTCTGTGGGCGAGTTGGATAATGAAACAAACTTTACAATTTAAAATGAGTATATATGTGGAGAATTTTATTATATTTTATGTTCGATGCATAAGAACAATGAGATAAAAATCTATTAAATGATCAATATTATAGCTTTAAAAATAAATAATTAAATAAAATTTTGCATTACTTTTGTAATTTAATTGCGATACTTTCTGCATTTGGATAACAATATTTAATAAAGTATTGGCGAATTTAAAATTATCATCTATGCTCTTTTAACGTAATATTGCTAGATATAATTACGTTGCGTGTACTCGTGTCTAGTGTTCTCGGATTAATGCTAATCCGGGGGATGAAATAGCGCAGCGACGGAAAGCGAAAGGGTTGACGGAGGTTGCCACTTACCGGTGCTGGTAGCGTTGAAGGCCAACATCGGCGCAGGCGGTGGGATGCCCCTCTGACACGCTATGTGGCTGGCAGTCAAACTGACAACTCCGCCGCTCTCTTTGTACATGAAGCACAGTCTACGGCTATTCCTGTAGGGCTGCGCCCTGTTGTTCTCGCTGTTCGACCATGCTGTTCTGCGCGCCAACGGGGTGGCGATCACGAACTGCGTGCCCTCGGCGTCGAACCATCTACCGTGGCAGGAATAGGCTGGAAGGCAAAGAGAGAGAGCACGGGGCTGAGCCAGAGGTTCTTCGCGAAACACGGGAGGGTTGGGTTAGAGAAAGTTTCGGGATAATAACAGTCGCGGGCGCGCGGGGGAGGGTTGGCGTCTCGACGGCCGTTACCCTTCGAGTGCCATTATTTCCCCCTCCCCCTCGAAATAAACTTCGACGGTGTCGAGGGTCGAGAGAATATTCCACGGGACTGGGAAGCGCGAAGGGAAGGGAGGCGAGGAGCGGACACATGCCTCGCGGTTCTTTCAAACATTCAGGCATTTCGATCTTGATGCGGAATCGCGGCAGGGGAGCGCGCTCGAGTATCATTTCGACCGTCGTAATGAAGTTACGACATTACCGGGATTGATAAACGGGGAGCGCAAGAGTTTCGGGCCTCGATAAGAGGCGCGCGGCGTTAATATCGTCGCTTTAACTCTGAAAGGCACGAAATTCGTCATACTGTCTCGGGATAATATTTTCCGTAAGCGCAATAAACGTTGCGTCGTTGATGAGCTTTATTGCTAACACTGACTTAATTAAATATCAATGCAAATTTTCTGAGAAGACACTTTGCGATTATTTGATGGACGGCTGTTATCTCTTATCTCAGAGCGGAGTTTTTCTGGATAGATGTTAATCTTTCTTTCTTGTGTAAAAAAAGAGACTGAGAAAAAGGCGAAAATACCGTTTAACCATGCACGTTCTCTCTGTTTTTAAACTGTCATCAATCATGTTTTTTATATCTATTTAATTGATATTAATGGTGAAGGAAAGATTTTTTTCCTTAAAAAATATTTATCTTTTATATCTACTTTTAAATAGATTATTTCAAATTTATTGAGTCGTTTATTATTTACGAATCCTTTGAAACCGTGATTTTTTAAATTCAGAATCAACGTTTTTCTTAGAAAAAATACAGAATTAAAATAAAATAAAAAAAAAACATTTTGGGACAGATGCGAAGAAATAGTAGAATCTTTTTCTTTATAAAGAGAATTCTTGCTAGAATAAACGCCAATCTCTAGACTATAATCGCCGGTCGTTCTAGTATTAAAAAGGCACTTTTTTTCTAAGCAGTGTCAAATTCAACGCTCGAAATGCCTTGAAAAAAATAATTCTCCTTCGTCGCTCGCGACACCGCGCTCGTATTCAAGGAGTCACAGCGCGGCACAAAGTTCTCGGCGTGAGACGGCAAAGAGGAAGAAAAGGCAGATAATTACCGGTGATAGCGTCGTCGTCAACGCAGTCACTTTGAAACTCCATCCTGTCCGCCGTGGAGCAGCCCACGGTTAAGGTCGTCACCTCGGAGCTGCACCTCGATTCGTCCTCGTTCCTCTTCTCCCTCTTCTCCGGAATATCCTCGTCCCTCTCGTGTTCCTCGAGCTCCCTCTTCATCCTCAGGAGATCTTTATAGGTCATACCCTTGTCGGTCGGGTTCCCCGACGCGGATCTTTTTCGCGGCGGGCTATCGACTTCCAGATAATCCCCGAAATAATCGCCCTGCACCTGTAGCGTGCTGGAGGTCCAGCTGCCGTCCGGATCGGCGGCCCAAAACCGTCCGATCACATCGACATCGTACAGATGGAAATCTTCTATCTTCGGGTCCCTTCTCGATCTGTTGTTCGCCTCGTCCCTCGACTTCATTTCGTCTTCGACCGTTTCGCCCTCATTTCTGTCAATTCTCCCGCGATCCGTCGTGTATCTCGCGTCTCTCTCGAGATGCTCGACGGCGCGCGATCTCCTCGTTTTGGAGCGCGAGCTTTCAGCGCCGCGTTGCTCGAGGTCGCCCGATCGTCGGACCTTCGATCGCACGGCGCGCTCCCGCAGGTCCCGGAAAGTCTCCTCCAGCTCGGAGGATCTCCTCGACGGGATCTCCTCCAGGCTGTAGTCCTTGCGGCTCCGGTTGCCGCCGCGATTCGAACGCGCCCGCCGACCCATCCTCTCGTGGACCAGATACTCGTTGTTGGCCCGCCTCTTCTCGACCTCGTAATCCAGCTTACGAGCCCGCCGGTCTTCATTCCTCTCCTGGGCGTGTCGCACCTTCTCGCCGTCGTGCCGGATCGGCAGAGACTCCTGCTGCTGCTGGTGTTGGCTCCTGCGGCTTTCACGCGTATTCCGTTGATTCCGATTCACGTCCGTTACCGTGAACTTACCCAAGTACGGACAGGTACGTGGTTCCGGAGAGCTCGCTGCGACAAAAAGCAGACGTAAACCTTACAAAGTATCCGCGAGAATATCGCAAAATACGCGGAAAAATAGATTAGCTACTATAGATAAAATATATGAATAACTAACATTTTTCGCAACGAGAGTTACATTTTTTGCAGCGAGAACAAAAGGTTTTGCTACTATTGCTAAATCATAGCTCTCGCTGCAAAAAATATAGCTCTCAATGCAAAAAATGTTAGTTATATTTTACGACTAAATTTAGCTAAATTTTTTTCCGTGATATCACATTCCTATCTTATTGTTAGTAGCGGTATAAGCAAAAAAAATATAAAATTCCAGAAAATATTATAAAAAATATTATTTAAAAAAACACAAGATTTTCAATCAGCGGATATTCGAAGTACTGTAAAAGTTATTTCTTAATTTCTAATGCTTTAAAAATTGTATTGCGTACCGAGCTCGAAGTTAATAATTATATGCAATAAACGTTCTTAAATTCATGCTTGATTTCCGGAATAAATAATTACTTCAATAGCATAATATATGCGAGATGATATAATATTTATATTGTGGGCAGAGAGAATTTGTGATGTGACAGAACAAGGATAAATTTTGCAGTATTATTAATGACATGAAATATCACGCTTGCTTCATTTAAAACATTAATATAACGCTGCATAACCCGATTTACGATTATGTTTTATATTTACGATAAAGGAGTTAATTTACATTGCACGACATGTGCGAGAAATGAAAAATGGCAGCACGATAAACGTATAAAAACGTATGAACATTTATCGTGTACCTCAAACGATACTTTTTACCATAATATTCGGAAATAGAACCACTAGAATTTTATATGAATATGGCAAAATTACAAACGTATATTATGCAACGATATTATTATTACTATTATTAATATCACGAGTTAAATACGTGATTATGCGTGATACTAATAAACGTAAATAGTTTCATAGATATAAAAAGAGTCGCTGTAAATTAATGATCCTATCTGCAAAAGTAAAGTACCGATATGCTCGTAATTTCTACGGCCTAAGAAGAAACTTTGAAGTTGAGTCTTAAACGGAATTTTAAATGCCGTAACTTTAGAAGTTGGGACAAGAAGCTCGACGAAGGTTATCGATCCCTGCTAATGATACTTTCTTGTTAGTGAGAAAGTACGGTATATTTTAAACCCGCGAGGGGGGAGGGGAGGGGAAAAAAGTTCTGAAAAGAGCCACGGATGTCCGAGTCTATTCAGGGAGTTCACATAATCATATTATATCTCTTATGTACCCTAAGGTAGTTGCAAATGTTATATAATGGTTCCAAATTTATTAGGACTTAGGTTAATCGTTTTTCCAAAGTTGTAGCTAATTTAAAGCAGTTACATAGTTTGCTCGCCAGAAGTAACACAAAAAACGTAACGTCATTTTCTGTAACATTTTTATAAAACAAAACTTTACAGTATATTTCTGAAATGTATTCTCATTAATATCATATAAATCTCATTCTACATTCTAGATCGATTATTAAACATTCAAAAATATTTACACATGCACGTATATTTAACATTCTTCAATTTTACCTCTGTTTAAATAGATTTTTCTCTTTATGTATAATATGCAAGCCACAATAAATATCACCAATCGCACGCAAATAACGGAAACGCATTGTGGTTCTAATGGAAGCTCATTAGATCGTAGAAAAGAAGGAAAAGAATGCCAGAAGCCTTTAGGAGGCCCAAGAAAGTAACGGAAAACGGCGAATGGCTATAACGAGAGAGCGTAAATCGTCTATAGGCCAGACACAATGCGAACTTAACGAGACAAATCTGACGACGCACCCTCGAGCCAAGGGTTCCGCTCTCTCTCCCAGCTTGATAAGCTGCATTATCGTTTTATCTCGCTACCATCAAGCCTTCAAAACTCAGTAAGCTAACAATCAAGTCCACTTTTTTCGTGTTTTACATGATAATATGTGCCTTCTATTAATTGAAAGCACGTGAAATACGACGCTCGCGAGAACGGAGAAAGAAAAAAAACATATACCGATTATCCTGCAGAGAAAATACAACGAAGAGTTTAATTGCTATTTAACGTCGGAAGAGTTGGAAAAGTTCGGATAAAAGGAGTCGGAAAAATTTACATTTACTTACTCTTAATTAGAAAGATTCTGTTACAAAAGTAACAGGATCTCACTTTCTAATTAAGTCTCAAGAAGATCCGTTTTAACAACGATACTTTTATTTCATTTACTCGCATCTTAATTACAAAAATAGGAAAATACTTAAAGGCTGGCGAAGCGAGACGTACATATTAATGAACGTTCTCGGTTTAATTATTTACCAAGGAAATCAATTTCAGTCTCATTTCTGTTCTTGTTTCGAGAATAGGGATTCCACTTTTGTTTTTATGTCGCTGCTCCATTTTTGCATTTCCGAATTTTATAAATCGATCTTAATGGCAGTTTGCGACGATATCGCAAAAATCTCGTTATTTTTACGGTTAATTAGACACGATTTTACGGCAACGCAAAAGCGAACGTTCGGTCTCGGCGAAAGCGACTTTGATTTTTCCGACTCGTTAGGCGATTCCCGGCACGAAGGACCTGCCCAAAAGGACGGTACGTTAAGGGCGGGTTATCGACGAGAGGTTGGGAGTCAGTCCCTTTGGTCCATCCAGATTCCTTTGTGTTCGATCAGAAGGGCGAATCGCGAACTATACTGATCGTTATTTATGCTGCAAGGCTTTGTAGCTAGCTTGTCAGAATACCATACATTTCTCAATAATAAGGCGTGTTCAAGTAAAATTTACAAGTTACAAAGTTAACAATTCGCAATCTTCTCATTTTGGTGGTTTAACATTTTTCTATTTAATATTTCCTGATAATAAGGATGAAAATCGTTATTTTGATATTTCAAAAACAAAACAAGAATAATATATGTATCCTTACTATATAACATTTTATATATTTCGTATCAACAAGATCGGTCTGCTTTAACGTTACGATATGTTATCGGTGCAGCATGTCGCAAATCGCAAATTAGAGGTATACGTATAAGGGAACGTATCCTTCCTTATCTCAATGTACTAATCTACTCTGAGAATCGCGTAACAATGAAGTTTCATAGCGTCTGGTTGTCTCCAAGGATGTAACTATACGGGCCACTGAATGTATTTATACCTTGCAGATGTGTGTGTAACAACTGGAAAATATTTTACGTTATATTACGAATAACGAAGTTAATATAAAATAAAAACAAAAGAATATATATTTATACACATGTTAAATTAATATAATCTATTGCGAATGAAAGCGAGATTAATTTTCCAACATTTTTGTTTGTTGGCTAACGCCGAGAAAACTTCAGAGAAAAAATATTCTTTTACATCAAGCATCAAGATATTGTAAATGTGATATCGCGATATTTAACTGTGACCGATAATATTTTGCTGTGTCTCAAATCACAGCTTTCCGTTGCGAGCGATATATTTATGTCCCGCGGCGCAAATACTTATTGGCAACGAGTCGCGCATTCGATAATCGATAACAACCGCAAGCACTAAATTACCCAGCGGCAGCTTTCCGACTTCCGCTAACCTGAACTGAACTAGCTATCCAATCCGCTTTCGGAATAAAGAAAATCACAGAATAATTAATCGTGACAATTACCTGCGCCGTCCCAGCGGCGGGGGCATCAGGTTCACGACCTCGCTCATCTTTAACAAGCATATTGCTCTAAATCGACACGATATCGCGATTCGGAATCGTAACGGCAGAAATAAAATTGGGACAGTCTGGTACCCCGCTGATATTTGCATATTAGTTCGACTGACTGTTTTATTCGCATAAAGTTCTGTTTCTATGTAAAAAATTTTAACGATTTTGTTGTCAAATTGCTTCCTGATCTAAAAATATTTTTAAATTGCATATCGCTTTATGTTTCCGTTCGACTAAAATCACTTTTTCAAAGCAATTTCGATTTATAGGGAATTTATTTGAAAGAATATTTCGTCGATTCAAATATTTCATGTATAATTCACGGAAAAATCCGTAAATTGAAAATAAAAACCAAAGATTCATTTAGTGCCGGTGGAGCGTCCAATGATTAAAGATTTTCAAGTGTTTAAATCTAGAGTTAAAAAAAATGGGGTTCAATAATAAAACGGGTTTTCATGTTTTTCTTGTTTCTTAAGAGAACGCGATACAATAACTCGCGTCAATCACTGACATCAGCCTCCTTCTCCCTTTTACGCTGTCTTATTATGACGCCAGTTTTGACCCCGAAAAGTCCTGCGGGCAAACCGGTACCGCTTAGTCACCGGCGGCATTATCCTGTCACATCCGCGTCGTTTCCTGGCGGAGCGTGCTTCTTGACACGGCAGTACCAAGTTTTTAATTAATCGGTCGAGTGCTGCCTCCCTCGATTTTGCTTTCTACCGTCCCCGGTCCCTCTCCGTGCCCCTTCCCCTCCCTCTCCATCCTTTTCAGGGAACGAAACGGCCGCCCCTAACGATCGATCTCGAGGACGAGGGAAACGGATCGGAAATTTCGCCCCGTTATCGCGTGCTTAGTTTGCCTCGTTCATGCTCCCGCGGCGTTTCATGGGAGTCTCATTCGTTTTGCACCATCATGCGGCCAACGAGAATGACGTAATGGTATGAGGACGTTCCGCGACCGGTTGAAATAAATACCCTTCACATTGCATATATTAATTAGCGATGTTAAAACCATCCCCTTTTCTCTGTTAGCGAAAAAAATCCTAAAGGGTATGTTTGTATTCTTGTTGCTTTGGCTTCTTCAAAGTATGCTTCTTTTTGACCGCAGTTTTGCATGGAAATGACTGAAGCTTCGCTTCCTATCGAAAAACGACCGTCTGCTGAAAGTGAATGAAATCTCATATCTCATTATATGTATATGCACGCTCGGGAAGAGTTGCTTATCGTCGCCGGAAGTTAAATCGAATGTATATCGACCAAGGGAGAGAAGTTTGTAAATAAGAAAACGACACCGGCGC